GCTAAAGCGAATGTGAGTCCATGGTTGTACGAAGAAGATGGTGTGGATAGCGCAGTGCGAGAGCTGACTGTGTTCATGGCGTCTAGGTGTTAGTGTACAAGAACCAGAGCCAAACGTTGAAGGGGTACCTCGCGGCTATCAAGTACTTCCACAAACTGTACGCAGGCTGGGAGCTGCCCACGTCTCACTTCAGAGTGGTAGCTGTTGGGAACGCAATAGATAGACTGCATGCGAGGGCAGAGACGAAACAGTTGATAAGGCAACCGCTCACCGTGCCGATGATTATTGCTGGTAGAGAAAGAGCGCAGACGAATGCTTTCGCACTAGTGACGTGGATGGGGATCGCTCTTTCATGTATCTTGCTGTGCCGAGCGTCTGAGCTGTGGGCCTACCAGAACGGCTTAGTACACGCCGTTTTTTGTCTCACGAGAGGGAACCTCGTATTCTTCGAAGAAGCGTGTCGGCTAGCGTGGAACGAAAGAAGGCGGGCAGACAAGTAGAAGTGACCTTTCGCGCGTCGAAAGCGGACCAAAAGAGGCCAGGCGCGGTAGTGAGGGTGGGTCCTACGTAATTTTTGGAAAAGTCGAACATCGAACATCGAACAAGCGGATAGTTCGAAGCTCGACTTTTTGGGTCCATTGAAATTTGCAAAAAAGCGTGAAAAAAAATCCCACACACACACGTTTTTGCGTTCAACAGCCCGCGTTGTTTGACCACGCCCGGAAAACCCAAGGGCACTCGACTCTCGAAAAGATACGAGTGTCGAGGAACAGGGACGGCGCCAGGAGGAGGAGCACAAGAAGCAGCCCCACCAGCAAAAACAGCACCGGTTGATAGTAGCTAGCACTCGAAGCCGCGGGGTGGAACCCCGGCATCCCTTGAGGCCTGATGCCCACATGCATTGCCGCGGGACCCTGCCGACTCACACCAACACTGCTGCAGCTGTTTGGCTGTCCAGCGATGCTGTATGGTTGCGACGGGAAGGAACCCCCGTGTGATTAACCTCACACCTGGCCCCGTTTGTGCACGCGGGGCCCTGGGATCCAGCGCAAACTCGTCGTCGCTCTGTGCAGACATGGGTGTTGCTGTTGCTGTCCTGCAAACCTCTCTGTCGTTCTCCCTCTCCCCGAGATTGTGTTTTTTGGTGGTGTGTGTTGGGTGCACGTGCGTGATGCATGCGTGCGGGTTTTCTTTTTTGTCGCCAATTCGGTCCCAATAGTTCACGGGACTGTAGGTTAGGTATAGGTTTTCGAGTTTTTGTGGAAAGATGTTAGAGTTTTAGGCGGAATCGCCCCTGGAAGATCCGGCGTACAAAAACTCGAACACCCTAACATCTCTTTGGGCTCTTCGACCTTCCTACCCAATCACATGATTACGCCGCTTGTTCGATGTTCGATGTTCGAGTCCGAAAAAATTACGTAGGACCCACCCTGACGAGAGAGAGAGTAGTGCGGGACGAGGAAGGGGAACAGATGGCTGAGAAGATGGGGGCGCTAGAGATTTTGCTGAATCTGCTTGACGTGCACCCAGAGTTAGGAAGTAGCGCGCCGCTTATGCAGTCGGTCAAGCAGGGACGGTGGGCAGTAGTGTCGAGGTCGGAAGCAACGACAGCGCTGAGAGACATGGCGAAAAGAGCTGGAGAAGACCCAACGTACTTCGCGCTGCATTCAGGGAGGATAGGTGGTGCGACGCAACTAGCAAAGCAGAGCGCATCGGTTGTTCAGATTCAGAGGGCGGGAAGGTGGAAGTCAGGAGCCTTTATGACGTACGTGAGGGCAGGAGGCGAAGGCGCCAATTATGTATCGCGTGCACTAGCGTCTAGCTGAAGGGGAGAAGTAGCGTGGACAAGAGCGCCGAGTATCGGGCCGCGCAATGGGATATGACCTGGGCATAGACATCGGGTTGGCCCGATAAGTGATACCTAGTGAGTCCGAGAAGAAGTCAATGGTTCGGCTCATAGGTTGGATTTTGGTTTTGATATTTTTTGGTTTCAGCGTTTTTGAGTTCTTGTCGCCTGTTCTAATAATCCAAATTTCTTGAGCAAAACACAAACAGGGCGTTTGCCGGTACTTTCAGATTCCGGAACAACCACCTGTGTAAGAGAAAAATTGTCATCCGTGCTGGGAAAATTTTGGAAAAATTGTTGTGCACGGACCGTACGTTGGATCTGGTGACCAACCTCCCTCGGGCTCGAGTTGGGCAACCCCCCCCCACAACCTGTATGTTTGACCACCTGTGGTGTGTTTGTGGCTTCCAGGTCACACCCGTTCCCTCCTACGGAAGTAATCACCTCAACAACAATACCTCAATGACCAACGCTGTTTACATAAAATGAATACATCCCCAACGCACAGAACAAAACCCATGCAATTCAAACAAAACAACGGAGAAAATGCGTAGCAAGTGACCAGAGCGAACGTACGAAATTGAGTCATCGCACCAAAGAGTCAAAACCAAAAAGGAAGGAAAAACCTTCCAGGGGTGGCCATCGGCCAGGCACTAGATCCTTCAGCTTCTCCAGCTGGTAGGTACGTATGAACGTGAACAGCTTACAACACACGGTGCAAGGTGGCGTCGAATAAACATCGGTTTGCCACGCCTAAACGCACGATGATACCCATCCACAACATTAGACAGCAGACGGCCTCCGAGGTGGTGGTAGCTTTCTCCTGGCCCTTACAGTACAACGAATACTCCGTTTCCCCTCCGACTGGGTCAGATATAATCACCAAAGGCTACACCGGCTGAACAAGCACCGTTCGGACTCAGTAATCCCAAACTGGAGGGATCGTTTGGTGACAAGGAACACCACCCGTTTCACCCAACCTCAATGCCCATGACCTTTGCCGACGAACGACGAGCTCTCGCGGCAACAAAGCCCGACCAATCACCGACTGCTGTACCGTGGCTTCCCCCCCCGAGGACTATGTAGATAATGTTCTCGGCATCATTGGCGATTGTCCTATCTATCTAACACTCGGCGTGCGTAACCCTGCCACGGGTGCGGTATCCGTCGATTGAACAAATTCACCAGCTCTTCCAACCTGAAATATGGAGCTTTAGTCCACTCGCCGCTTTGCCTTGGCCATCTGAGTTACCTCACATGGCGTAGGCCCGTGAAGTACAGGTCGTCGGGAACGATCCCCACGCACCCCACGCAGACGTAGACTGGGCACGGACCCCTGATGACGGGCGACGTTTCGGGGGCGGGAAGGGAGAGTTGAGACGACTAGGTTCAGAACAACTGCTTGAACGCGAAAATATTGACAGTGTTCATTGAGTGCATGGTTTGGTACGCAGGGCTACATTGAATCTAAAAAACGGTTTGCCTGAACGTGATCGAGTGATAAAAGTCCGCGATCCCTCATTAGTCAACACACACTTTTGTTTCGCTCAGCTACAGACCGCGTTTCGGTGGGGCATAGTCAGGACACCGATCGTGCTTCAGGCCTCCATTCAACGTGAGAAGAGTACAATACTACCATGGGCATAGATGAGCGCGGCAAGACCGTGTATCATCAACCAGAGGAATACTTCGACGTAGTATTTCTATTGCGAGTTCTTTGGGATCACTTTTATCTTGGTAACGAAGCTCCTCGAAGTCGTCGTCTACAGTTTCTTGAGACGAGTCCCAAAACATTATTGACAGCAGGTTTGTAAACTTTCAAGGTTTCGAGTTCCGTTTTGCCCGGCGGCGTTGACATTTTTCATTTCGTGAAGTATCGCTCTCTAAAAGCAAAGGAAAAGGCAGAGACCAACTCGTTGGAGGTGTTCCTACTGCCAGTGAGTACCTTCAGGAAAACGACAAACAACATGACCATTTTTGCGCGGACACACCAACCTGCAGCTGTACATCGTCGCGTTCTGGTGGATGCAGCCGCTGCAAACAGAGCACTTGTCAACCCCAGCACTTTTCATTTGAAAGAGCCCGTGCCGTGCTTTGCAGGTGATTCCTGATGCGGCATGCTCCATGTGCTTGGCGATGCAGCTCTGGCAGGCGTCAACATCGCACGTAATACACACCATGACGCGGCACGTAGGGGGAATGGTCGCTTCGCACCAATCGCATCTGGCACCGCCCCGAGACGCGGTCCACTTAAGCCCGTGTCGACCTTTACAGTCAAACTCGCTCGGGTCCTCGTGGCGTCCGGCGGGTGGTCCGAGCAGCTTGGCGAATTCTTCAAAGGAGATTTCTTCTGCGAGGAGGCATTCGACAAAGAAGGTGCCCGAGGGCATCCATGAATGCTCAACTCCTGAGGAGCTGTGCAGGCAATTTATCATTCGGCAAACAATCGTTTGCAGAACATTCATTTTTTTCTGGTCGGGAAACCAGATTCAGTCCCTGTCTGGTGGAAAAGAACAACAGCAGGTTTGGGGAAAATTGCGGTGAACTCCCAGAAGGTCGACGTTTTCGGTTGACTTTTATGGAAATACTTCTCTGTATCATAAGTTAGGGTACCTCCATGCAATAGATTGTCTGGGTGCAACCGTGTTTGTGATGGTAGCATAGTCGGGTTCGTAAGAAATATATGACGAAGACGAAGCGATAGAAAAAAAAAAGAAAATTGAACATCTAGTTCTGTACTTTATACACTGGTGGGCCCGCTATAGTGCCGGTATGTGCCCAGAGATAATATCGGCACTATTGAGGGCACCGGCACTAGTCAGAATAGTGCCTCAATAGTGCCGATTCGGCACTATTGAGGTTTCGAATATCCCTCAATAGTGCCGGTCCGGCACTATTGAGGAGATATTTGATTTCATGCTGTGGCGCTCATGCGTTGCGGGGCTAACCGAGTACGAAATGGATCAAACTCAGTGAAGGTCTATCGTGGGTGTAGGCATCCTTTCTCGCGACAAGTATGGTTCCCCCCTGTCGCACACACAGAGGGCGAGTTGTAAAAAATACTTACTTGCATGTTGCACCATTATTTTCTGCCTGCCTCAGCACATGAACTGTACTGCACACTGTCGAAACTGCTGTTGACAGCAAGATGCTTGTAAAGCTCCCGTTCGTACAGAGTGGACGTAGCTATATCTCAGCCCTAGAGCCCCTCCTTCCATGTTGCAAGATACAAAAAACAAAAAAACAAAAAAAGAAACACGACAGGAAACTGCAAGAAAACAAAAATCAATACTACTGCACTACAGTAGTTGTATCCCCCCCCCAAACTACGTCGCGACACTGGAGTGTCTGCCTGGCGTACCCGCTTCGATGTTGCAAGAAAAAAAATAAAAACTACCGTTACAAGTACACGACAGGAAGCGAGNGTTCGTACAGAGTGGACGTAGCTATATCTCAGCCCTAGAGCCCCTCCTTCCATGTTGCAAGATACAAAAGACAAAAAAACAGAAAAAGAAACACGACAGGAAACTGCAAGAAAACAAAAATCAATACTACTGCACTACAGTAGTTGTATCCCCCCCCCAAACTACGTCGCGACACTGGAGTGTCTGCCTGGCGTACCCGCTTCGATGTTGCAAGAAAAAAAATAAAAACTACCGTTACAAGTACACGACAGGAAGCGAGCCGCAAGAAAAAGAAACAACCATGAACTCTACGTCGCGACAAATCCTCTAATGTCTACTGGCGCACCCGCCTAGCGGAATGCGCTGCGATCATCGACATCTTCGCCTTCGTTAGGTAGAACGCCGCGTCTCCGTTGCCACTGTCCTCTGCTGCCACTTCCAGGGCGCCGAAGTGAGACGACAGTTCTTCATAACCCGGTGGCGCACGTGGGGCACGGCGCTCGCCCCCCGTGTTCTCACCGCCGCCGCCCTGGTCCTGTTCGTCCTCCTCGTCGTCGCCGCCGGTAGACAAGTTCGTTCCAGCCAGCAGTGCTGTCATGTCTTCCACCGCGTCCAATCGAAGAGCCTGTACCACCTCCTCGTCGTCCTTGATGGTAGCCCACCCCTGAATCGCGGCCACCACTTCCCCCGCGACCGGCTTTCCGGGTTTAATGTTGAGCTCTGCCAACCGTTCGCTGATCTCCTCGTCCACGACGCGGGATCCCTGCTTCTGCGCGTCCTGCACGCTCGTGCTCAACTTGTTGACAGTATCTGCTAGAGCCTTCAGGTCAGGCTCGGCCACGTTGAACCGGGTCTTTCCGTGTTGCTTGGTGGGCTCAGCCGCCATCTCCTCCGGAAGCGTCTCGGCTTTGACAAAGCACCTGGCAAGGTAGCGCAGAAATTGTGATGAATCCGTGTTTGGGTGGAGAAGCGATGTTAGACGAACCCAGTGACAAACAATGACTCATAGGGATGCGAGAGAAGGCCTTTTGTTTGCAAAGAAACATGGAGATTTGCGGTCGCGGGAATATTCAGTCGAAAAATAAAACCTATCCGTACAACCTTACCCACGTAACGTACCACCAAAGTCATGCGCACTTGCGCGAGCTACATATTTAAAACCGCGATATCACATGTTCAAACCTCACCTGGCGATGTCTTGGGCGGTGACGCTGGCCCATGCTTTCTGAAGAAGTTCAGCGGCGTCCCGCACGTGAGGTTGGTGCCCTTGCGCTAGCCCCATTGTCTCGGCCTTCATCTTGCGGGCTTTGGCCTGGGCGCGAAGTGTGTCAGCCACCAACAACATGGTTGATGTCTTCACATCGAGCACCTCCTTCCTGTAGTTGACCTTCGTCTTGGCGATGACCCCCAAATCCATGGGTTGGTGTACGGCGGTGCACAGCGGAGGGTGGTCTTGACGGTAACTTGCCCGCGATCATCAACTAGATCACCGTGAGACGAACAGCCGTCCATCAGCAGCAGCACAGGTTCGTGAGTGAAGCGCCGAACGAACGGGAGGAAGACTTCAAGCCACCACTTGAGGAACGTCGCGAAGTCAAACCACGCGTTGGTCTGCGAGAAGTGCTTCAGGNGATGACCCCCAAATCCATGGGTTGGTGTACGGCGGTGCACAGCGGAGGGTGGTCTTGACGGTAACTTGCCCGCGATCATCCACTAGATCACCGTGAGACGAACAGCCGTCCATCAGCAGCAGCACAGGTTCGTGAGTGAAGCGCCGAACGAACGGGAGGAAGACTTCAAGCCACCACTTGAGGAACGTCGCGAAGTCAAACCACGCGTTGGTCTGCGAGAAGTGCTTCAGGGGTGAACCCCCGTTCTTGAAGCAGCGGGGTTCCTTTGCCCTCCCGATGATGGCCATGTCAACCTTCGCAGTGCCGTCGGCATTGCAGCACATGATGGCAGACAGTCGGTCCTTGAAGTGTATGCTCTTTGAGCCTCGCGCCGTCTTCCGATCCTCCGAGGTGGAAAGGTACGTGCGCCTGGGCATGAGCTTCCACTGGAGACCTGTCTCGTCGACGTTGAAGATGAACCTAGCCGGGTACTTCTCGCGAAGGGCCCTGATTTCCTCCATGTCCTCCTTGATGGCCTCCTTGTCGACCTCGCCATGAAGTCCCACGCTCTGGATCTTGTTGCGCTTCACGAAGTTCTTCGCCCACCTCTCGCCGGCCTTGACGTCCTCCAGCCTCTCCCTCACTGCTGCGGAAGTCGCGGTGTCAGCCAGCAGGGTTGCCCTGGCAGAACGGCCGAAGCTTCGAAGGACATCGCGTGTGACGGGTATCTTGGCCTCNGATCTTGTTGCGCTTCACGAAGTTCTTCGCCCACCTCTCGCCGGCCTTGACGTCCTCCAGCCTCTCCCTCACTGCTGCGGAAGTCGCGGTGTCAGCCAGCAGGGTTGCCCTGGCAGAACGGCCGAAGCTTCGAAGGACATCGCGTGTGACGGGTATCTTGGCCTCCCGGGCTTTGTCGAGTAGATCAAGAGCTATCTCATCCACCTGCCGCCAAAAAACGAGTAAACAACGCAGAGAGTGCAAAAGATCGAACGGTTAGTTTCGAACGTAAGCATGCTAACCTACACTGCGCGGCGCGGGCAGGCGGACGAAGCGTACCCTGTTACACTAAGCTCACACGTTCGAGTATTGTTCCCATTTGTGCACTAGTGTAGAGTACACTTAAAGTTACTTGGAAAAAAATGCGGCAGATTCAAACAAGAAGCGCTGCCGTGTTGTAGTAATTTACTGGTTGAAAATTGAAAAGAGGGTATGTGCGAGAGCACAAGGAACGAATGAACGATGAAAGCGCAGAAAGAAGAAAAACGAGCGACAAAAAAAAGGAAAGAAAAACGCCGAAAGAAAAAAGCCGAAAAAAGACAACAAACCAAAGGAGAAAGAAAGACGAAAAAAAATTGGACATCCAGCAGCGAACGAACCAGGCTCGAAAAAAAAAAGGCCGGCAAAAACAAGAACCAAAAACAATGGCGAGGGAAATAACCCAACGTCACAGCATTGCATAGAGCGCACCTCCGAAATATCTCCTTTGCGTGCAGTTTTCTGGCTACCGCAGCCTGCACCAGTTGCTGTCTCCACCTTCTGCCGGCCAACCTTCACGGTCCCAATAAACCGAAGCGAGCACTTGAAGCGGTCTGCAATCTGTGCGTGATAGACTACACCTTCTGATCCAGTATCTTTAGAATCTCGAGCTTCTTGTTGTTGTCCAGCCGCGCACGAGAACCCGTTCCCTGGTTGCTTCCCCCGCTCGTCTGGTTCTGGCGTTTAGATGGTCCCGCCCCAGCACCCTTAGCTGGTGTCGCTTTGCGCTTGCTAATAGTCCTGGCGACACACGTGCTGCAGACGCGGTGCTGCTCGTTGTCCTCAAACACGCTGCCGCAATTGCCGTGGAGCCGCCCGCCACATCCTCCCTTGCAGGAGTGGCCATGAGGGGGTTGCGGCGTCCTGTCTTGTTGAAGGCACAGTTCACCGTCCGCACAAGNTCTTGTTGAAGGCACAGTTCACCTTCCGCACAAGGCATGGTGCGCCTCTGCGTAGAACTCTTCGGGTCTGCAGCAGCACGTGTACCCTCTGTGTTGCGTGTGTCCGCTGTCTTGTGTGTGTGTTTTATTATTAGCATCGAACGANGCACCCTTAGTTGGTGTCGCTTTGCGCTTGCTAGTCCTGGCGACACACGTGCTGCAGATGCGGTGCTGCTCGTTGTCCTCAAACACGCTGCCGCAATTGCCGTGGAGCCGCCCGCCACATCCTCCCTTGCAGGAGTGGCCATGAGGGGGTTGCGGCGTCCTGTCTTGTTGAAGGCACAGTTCACCGTCCGCACAAGGCATTGTGCGCCTCTGCGTAGAACTCTTCGGGTCTGCAGCAGCACGTGTACCCTCTGTGTTGCGTGTGTCCGCTGTCTTGTGTGTGTGTTTTATTATTAGCATCGAACGAGCTAACCGGCTGACCAATGAAAAGACGTCAGTGCCAGCGGGTAAAAATCAAGGTCCCTGGAAGGGGGCCAAAATTCGAAAAATGCGCAATGCGCTTGATGCGAATATGAATGTCAATACGACTCTCTCTACATGTTCTTTCACGAAGACACACATCTCAGCTACACAAATGCCCTCGCTCGAATATAGGAAGCCACCGATGCAAAGAGCGGAGGACAGCAAAAGGGTTATTTCAAGCCCAGCCGAAGCCAGGATATCGTGGTATGCTGCATCTCCCAATTTGATAATCGTACACGCCCAAGATCCAACAGTCAGTCATTCAGCAGCTAGAT